TACTGGCTGACCTTAGTCAAGGCACTCTCTTTCAGTCCCAGGAAGGAGGCAGGGGCAAACCACTCCTGAAAAACCTTATCCGGAGTCAAAAAGTTGACTTGAAGGCATAAAATAATAAACAGATGAATTCTGCCTACTTACCCAAATCTCAATATGTCAGTGTTCATTTTCTATGATAAATCATCCAGACTAGTCTGTTGACAACTACTATAACTAAATATCTAACATTGCTTTGTGGAGAGGGTTTCATGAATCATCATTTCGACAATACATATGGTGCTTTTTCTTGTGGTTTGTTGAGGGTTGCATGTATTAGGTTATATTAGGACCATATTTTAAATGTGTAAGGCCTTTCCAATGAGAAAAAATGAAGAAATGCCTGGATGAAAAAGTGCTTATTTAGGAATTATTCCCAATTCCTTGTTCCTCTTCTGCTTAATACCCTACCCTTAGCACTGAAACTTTTATCTGCAAATCAGACCACAATCTTCTAGATCAAATCAGCCTACAGGTTCTAATGTTTATGGATCATGTTTTGATCCTATCTTTAGCATCACCAGAGGGTTTCTGACTAAGGAAGGCAGTGCTTTTAATTCACTGCCATCTGCTGCCATCAGATGTAAAACACTTTTTAGATTAAAATCTTACAATTTTTTTGCATGGATTGGAATTCCATCATTAGTGATTTCATCTGTGATAATTTCAGCTTCCATTTTTTTCATTTGAAGAGATTGGCAAACTTAATTGATAACCAAGGGTTTGTAAGTATTATACTTATCCTCACATTTCTGTTCTCTTCTGTTATTGCTGAGCCAACTTGTTCATAATAGGAAATCACGTTTTTTTAAGTTTGGGTACATTTTTTGGGCCTTCTGCTGTGATTGAAGTTTCATGAAATGCAAAGTTCTCATTGCTGTTGAACTAAACTTCCAGTGGGTTTTTATTTCCCCCTGTATTAATGATTAGACATTCTCATTATTACATAAGCATCTATTACATAAGCATCTATAAAAACTCTTTGACCTCGGAATGGTAAGCAGTTACAGTCTTACTACATTTCTCCATTTCCAAATTTGAGACATCTGTTAATAAGCAGAACATCCCAATTTAAAATACTCAGTTTATTGCATAGTGAATGATCTTGGTATGATATCTACAGATATTTGAAATGTCAGTAGAAATATGGAAGTGACAGCAACAAGGGACAATGCCTGTTTCCCTATTTGGACCCTTCAGTTCTAGTGTATACCTTTAGATTTGGTGTACAATTTGGAGTTTTTCCTAGACTCTCAGATCCTGCTTGAGCATATAACAGTGCAATTAGGAAGGGCTTTATAAAAGACAACTTACACTTGCACCCATTCATTAGCCCAGAAGCACTATTTGCTATCACTTAATCTTTGGTCAACTCGTATTTGGTTATTAGTGCATTTTAAATGGGGCTGCCTTTGAAGACTATTTGAAAGCTACAGCTGGTCCAGAATGTATGGCACTGGTAATTGTTAGTTTGTCTCTGTACACCGGTGTAACTAACACCTGTACTAGAAACTTCTGTGTGCTGTTCAAGGTCCCCATTATTACCTTTAAAGTACTTCATGGCCCAGGCTGGGCTTATTTATAGAACCATTTATTTCCAGTTATTTCTGCATGTCCCCACAAAGTCTGAGGGTGTTGGTAAGGTCCTCTATCAAACAAAGTTGTGTAATGAGCAAAAATATGGCTACTCTTACGTACCTGCCTCAGAGCAGTTACCATACTCACTAAGATTCAGTTGGTTCCTACCTGGCCAGCCCTTCACAATGCCCTAAAGACCCTAATGCTCTTTAATATGTCCTTAATTGAACTGCTTCTACATAGAGGGAAGAATGCAGTGGGGTAACCCAAGGCTCTGCCTTAGGTCCAGTACTCTTCAATATCATCATCATCAATGATTTAGACGACGGGATAGAATGGAACTGATCAAATTTGCAGACAACACCCAACAGGTAGGAATAACCAACACTCCAGAAGATAAGTTCAAGGAAGTGTCTGCTCTATAGGGCAGGTACCATACGAGAAGAAAATGAAAAGAACAGGTATAAAGTAGGTAGTACTTGGCTCAATAGTAGTTATGTGCAAGAGGGATCTTGGAGTCCTAGTGGACAGGCGCTTAAATATGAGCTAGTAGTGTGCTGCAGCTGCCAAAAAAAGCCAATGCAGAGGAATAGTATCAAGATCACATGAAGTGTTAGTAGCACTGGTAAGGCCACACTTGGAATATTGCACCCAGTTTTGGCCACCATAATCTAAAAAAGATATTGCGATTCTAGAAAGTGCAAAAAAGAGCAACAAAGTTGATTATGGGGCTGGAGGTTAAAACATACAAAGAAAAGTTGCAGGAATTGTGTATATCTAATGAAAAAAAAGGATTGGGAGTAGTGACATGATAGGGGTGTTCCAATATCTAAGGGGCTACCACAAAGACAAGGGAGTCAACCTATTCTCCAAAGCACCTGAAAGCAGAACAAGAAGTAATAGATGGAAACTAACCAAGGAGAGAACCAACCTAGAACTAAGGAGAAATTTCCTGACAATTATAACAATCAGTAGAACAACTTGTGTTCAGAAGTTGTGGGTGCTTCAACACTGGAGGTTTTTAAGAAGAGATTGGGCAGCCATTTGTCTGACCATTTGGTTTCCTGCTTGAGCAGGGAGTTGGATTGAAAGATTCTTGCAACTCTGTCATTCTGTTAGACCTGACTCTTCCCTTAGACCAGAGGTCTCCAAACTTGGCAACTTTAAGACTTGTGGACTTCAACTCCCAGAATTCTCCAGGCAGCTGTCTGGAGAATTCTGGGAGTTGAAGTCCATAAGTCTTGTAAAGTTGCCATGTTTGGGGACCCCTGCCTTAGACACTGAGCTAGATTTGTTGGATAAGCTTGACTTGATTATGTGTTCTATCTTGAGTCAACCTGAGTTTGATTTTGTTGTTCATTACTTCTGGGAGCATTTAATTGTCTCAGTCTCAGTTTTATGTGAGTCAGGATGCTTTACTGTCATTTATATTTTTCCCACACCCCTTTATGCCTCGGGAAACATCTCTACTTTGCCTTGATGTCCAACAAGTCTTAATTTGTTGAATTCAACACGTGCCACTTTAAAAAAAATGGCTCTCATGCTGTTTAAAGAAACATTTCTTCTCTCTGCCCAATGTAGAGCACTGTGAGTTGTGAGCACCATGCTCTTCCTTGCCTATAAAAGTGAAATTCCCTGTTTCCTGAGAGTTCATTGACATCCCACCCTTGACAGAGTATCATCAAGAGCCTTTCTGATGGGCACTTTTCTTTGAGATATCTGCACATTAGTGACATCATAACTAGCCACTTTTCTATGGATGTTTGAGAAAGAACAGGTGCCTCATTCAGCTAGGTGGTTTTCTGTTTTAACCTGACAACCTGCCTCACCTCTAGTATAGCTTACAAGTTTGCTATTCTACTTGTTGTACAAATTTAAAGCACAGAAAACTCTTTAACAACAACAGGTTGCTTAAACCCATATTCCATCCACCTAAAATCTTGGCTCTTTGTTCTTATGGACTAGGTCTTACTTGCATTGTTGAATTGTGGGAGAAACCTCATTGCATATGTATAGTATCATGGAGAAGGACTTTTTTCCATGCCTAAAAGCTACAGAAAGAACATTTTGCATAGGCAGAGAAATCTATTTGTGTGAAAGTTTACTTAACTAAAGCCATGCCAAATATATCCATAGATAAAGTTTGTTCTTAAAATTGAGTTTTTTCTCTCTTAATTTTTGTACAGAAGTTTTGAGAAGGAAATAAAAAGCATACATATGATAACACTTTCATACAGCAAATTATCCTTTCCCAGTCTACTCAAAGTTGTACTAAATTCTGAGCTCTGCTGTCTAGCCATAAGCCTTCTTCAATCATTGAAGGAAACTACATATACCTTAAATCACAGGATTATGTAGTGGGCCTAAAGGTCTGAATATCTGAGGAGTTTCTTTGTTAGCATGGAAACTGATTAAATTGGATCACACCTTTTGTTTGTCACAAACTTTGATAAAAGTTATTGTAGTTGCCAGATTAGTTGCCCAAATTATGTAGTTGCCCAGATTAGCACTAAAAATTAGGATAGTATATAATACCACAAATTTACATTTGTCTTGTTATTTTTATGCGTGTCATTAACTACATCAGTCACACATATAATATGACGATATATGTTGTTAGAATGTTCCCAATGGCATCCCTTGTAGGCTTGGAAACCTCGTGGTCTGAAACTGGAGTTATTGGTAAATATTTTTAAGAATTTACCCTTTTCTCATTACTTTCTCACTGCTGTCCTGTGAATTGAATGGCCTTCGTTTTCTAATGACAGATTTCCAAACCTGATGCTTCAACAGTTTAACTAAACTAAGTTGATTTGAACAGAAGTACATTACACTTTATTCGTGAGACATACATTCCACTATAAACAAGGATTAAAACGTACGGTGGGTAGCAAGATATAAGTGATACAAATCTCAGAAATCTGAACTAAATATAGTAAATTCTTCTCAAGGCTATGTGAATGATAACTTAATTTGAGGTCATACAAGAAATACCAATGTTTCTGTTCCATCCCTTAGGAGTTCTTGAAGGTGTTGAAATAGAGTTTAAGGACAATTTACATGTGGATTAGTGGTTCTTTTAAAGAAGAACAGATGATGCAATAGATTATAGGTTTTGATGAGGTGCAGAAACTATGGATAGGAAAAAAGTACTAAGAAAAATTATCAAGAAAACTTGGCCAGGGGCAGAAAGCAAAAACAACTAAATATGGGAGGCTGCTATGAACATTTATCACAAGTTTCAAGTTATAGGGAACATTGCAGTCGGAAAATGGCACTTCCTGTTTTAGTGCATTGGATGTCACAAAATTAAACTCTGTCCTGGGCTGGTTCTTCTCATCCTTGCTTATCATGTGTCCCTCTTCTGTTCTCTTCTGTCTCTACAGAAAGTGATGCTTCCTACAGGTGCTGCATTCCGATGGTTTCAATAGGAACAAGAATCCCAAAGCTCTATCTTCCAGTGCAATGGCACTGCTTGCTTGTGTTGTCTCAGGCAAGGAATTTTTTGACGGAAATAAATGGATGCGCCTATGTCTCCTTTAGAACCAAAAATATTTTCTTGCAGATTTCATTCCTTTTTTTAATATAATTTTTTGGCATTTGTTTAACATCTTTTAAGTACTAGTAAAACGAGCATTAATGTTTTCAAATATTTTTTTTAAAAGAATCCATAAAGTATCAAGATGTAATAGAGTATGGACAATCAGTTTGTTTTCCTGTGTTTTGGTGTTGATGTTGTTTATGTGTGGAAGATGCAGTTCTTGTGTAGAGAATGTAAATTTACAGTAACCTTTTAAATCTAGTTACTAATACGCACTACTGTAATTAGCACAGCAGTTTCTTCATTTATCTGATTGATTTCCATCATTAAAGAAAAATAGTGTGGCTAGTTTCTAGAATGCCTCAATTCATGTTTATAAATGAACATATATTTAAAATAAGGTAGTTTCTTTTCCCTAATTCTACAGATAAGACGAGATTTAATCAGCAAGATATCTGGTCTTATAAAATGGAAATATATTGAAAACTGGCATTTTTAAAAAAAGAAAAGCAAAAATAATAAAATTTAGAACAAATAAAATTGCGTACTATAGTAAACCCAGAACTAATTGCAATGATTCACTTTTAGAAACCATTTGGAAATATTGCTGGAATTCCAATGTAAGCTGTTGCAGAACCTGTGCTGGAAAAATATAGAAGTCCTTTTCTATGTTTAAAAAATCCTCATCTCCTGCTTTCCTACCATCTCTAATTGAAAGGCTGTTTGTAATGTTCTAGCAATTCAAGCTAAGCTGTTTTGTGAATAAAAATGAAAGCATGTTTTGTGTCATGGTTTTCACCTTCATTATTCTGTCCATCTTGGGTGCATGTCAGGTTGTTTGGTTGCTTGGGTGGGGGTACCAAGTCTAAAATGACCTGTTATATGTTGTTTTTTCCTATAATGTTTTCCAATGTTGACCCTTCTTGGACTCAAAAAATGTAAACTGAGTGGGTTTGATAATACTTCGGCATTTTGATTCTTATTTTTAATATAAGGTATTATACATGTTTAATAGTATGAATGGCATAATTGTATGTTTCCTTCTTGCAGTCTACATATATAATTGATTATCTGATCATATTCCACAAATATATGATGTACTGAATCTGGGTTTGGTATAACCTTATTAACAGTTTGGTTAGACAAACAATTAAACATTTAATAAATAAAATTATGCTTTAATCAGGCTACTCGATTTTAGAATTAGAAATCTACGTAGCATTTATGTTGGCAAATTTATAGGAATAGATGATGTCTTGGGCCTTAAATGTCATCATCTGCATGTGGCTTCTGAGAGAATTAGGTATTTGCTTGAATTATGCTGCCAGCTGCAGTGTTCACAATCAATCAGAGGCAACCAATATATAGAGCGGTCCAACTTGCTCTATAAGTCGCTGTCAATGAGTTCCCCAGCTGACTTGGATGTTTGGGAAAATCTTCCATTTTTGTCTTTCCTTGCAACTCCTTTAATACAGGGGTCCCCAACCCCCAGGCTGTGGCCTGTTTGACAGTGGGCTGCACGATCAATGGGCAAGCGGCATGCACGTGAAAATACACTCCTACAAGTGGCAGGCACTTGCACATGAAGCTTCATTCGTATGAGTGCACAAGTATAAGTTTCCCCTGCTCAAGTGCCCTCAGGTCATGCGAGTGGAGCTTCATGCATGAGTGCAAAGGCCCATGGTTTATGTGGGTGGAGCTTTGTGTGCGAGCACAAGCGCCCTCCACTTGTGCATGAAACTCCATTTGCATGTGTGCCTGCCACTCTCCGGACTGCCAACGTGGAAAGGTTGGAGACCGGTGCTTTAATAAAGCAATCCCTATTTTTAATTTAGAAGTCATAGGTCACTAGTCATTCAAAGGATCAGCCCATAATGTTGTATTTTAACTTTTTTTAAAATTCTGTAGAAGCAATCATTAATAAAATTTACATTTCATGACACAATGTCAATATGCAACAAACAATTGTATTTAAGTTTGTTTTGTCAATAAAAAATATTAGGTGGAAGTTTAGAGATGAAACTGCTTTTGAAAAAGTGCCAAGAGGAGATTACCAATAAAGGAATATACTATCTCAATTTGGGCAAACATTTTGGTGGAATTAAAAAATGAAGCTAGAGGACAGCTAATACTGAATTCCAGAATGCTTTTCATGTTTGGTAGGTTTGGCTTCAATATCCTGCCTAATTTTCTCTTCAAGGTATAAGAGCAACAAGTATTTCTATAGCTGGCAGATGGGGAGAGAGATCCACATTATTGTGCAAGTTTAACCAGGTTTTGCCCCAAAAGTCCAGCCCCTGAATAAACAAATGTTGCCACTCTCTTGTACAACTACCACGAATCACAAATATACATACAGGTGTAAAGGTGTAGACAATGCAAAGTAAAATTTTGTGGGATACCTGGTAGGCTTTTGTTGAGCCTACAATTCAGTGTTCCTCCACATTTTTAATTCTGTGTGGATTATAGAAGAACATGAATAAAAGCTACAGTATCCTAGTTACTTGGATGGACAATGGACAAACTAGGGTATGAAATGGTCCTGCACCATCAAATTAGATTACTACTTTTCTGCTCTGACTTTTAAGTGGCTCTGTGCTTCTTCGTACCCTTTTCAAAAAGATCGTTTACCTTTATACTGCTTCTAATCAGATTGTATTCATTTTATAGTTTTTAGAGAAATAAAATAGTAGCTCAGATACTGTTAACTTTTCTTCATTCTACAATCCAGAGAATAGGTCAGAACAGAATAGAAAGAGAAGTCTTTATTTGTCTCTGGTGCATAAGCTCTCAGTGTGCATGCAAGCAACAAATGATAAATCATCACCATAAATACAATAATCATAAATCATAATTTTATAGGGTGCCCTTCCTCTTTCTATCCACAATGTACCAATCCTCCCTTTTTTGCTAAATATATATATGAAATGTCATAGCATATGTCACCAGAGACTCCCAATTTCATTTTGAAAGAGTCATGGATTCCTTGGAACATTGGTGAGACCTGTCCTTCTGCCTCTCTAATGCAAGCCTTCCCCTTCTATCCATCTATAGTTAGAAGTCTTCGAGAAAAAGTTATACAACTTTTCTAAAAGTGGGGTGTAATGGAACACCCAGATTTCATCTGCGATACAGAATACAGGATGGATTTTTGCCGACAGGAAAATAGATTCTGCAACTTAACAAATTTACCTGAAGTCTATCCAGTTGGCTCCCATTTTAGGATTACCTTGCAGAATTGCAATGTTTATTCCTAATCAGTTTGGCGCCAAACAGTCATGCTTCCAATCACCACTTTAATTAATAATGCTTCCTTAAATTTGAGCTCGTGCAAGTCCATTTCCAAGAACACTTCTTCGTTCTGATAAGCAGAGCCAAGATGACATTGGAGATTGATATAGGTTAGCATGTATCTGATACAGAACAGAAAAAAAGATACATTCTTCAGACCTAGGTGACGTAAAGTTTTATTCTGGTGAGGATCAGTGTTGGAGAAAAGTCATTGGAACAGCTTTAAATATGTTCACCGCTCTGAAATCTTATTAAATGGAATCATGTATTTGTTTAAAATGCTCAGGTTTGTTCACCAGCTAAAAGGATTTCTTTTTCTCTACATAAATAATCTGAGAACTATGCATGATGCACATGTACTTGCGTGTTGATCTCAGGCTGTTTAGGGAAGTATATCCAAAAGTGGAAAATTGAAATGAGAAAGAGATCATTTAAGCCTACTTCCTATTTTCTGCATGGTCATGGGTGGCTTTACTAGATATCTTAAAATAAAATGAAGGGTACTGTCAACAACTTGCAAATGCATGTTATTTTCCCCATAACTTTGCACAAAAACCAAGTCAAAAAGACATTCTTGATGTGTCCAGCACCTTGCATGTAGAGATCTGCAGCCTTAGTCATTTAATCATTTTCAGTTTTGAATGCTTTCATGTGAGGTTATGTTGCTGGTACTTACTATATAAACTTTCTTAAATCTGAACAAATTAAACCTAATGTATCTTTCCAGGTGAGTACCCAAACACTGGAAACATTTTTAAATAAGACTTTAAACCATCTGACCTGCCCCTGAGATTCAATATACAATACTTTAAAATTGTGGTAAATATGCTAGTAAAATAGGGGAATAAGAGTAACACACTAATGGCAGACACATAAGCAGCAACTGGTTGTTTCATGTTTGGATCCCCATGCCTGGGGAAAGGGGAAGCAAAGCAGAATACCAGCCTCTCATGCAGGCTTTGTTTCCAGGAATGCTCAAGTCTGGAACAGTTGAGTGATATTTTGGAATTGCCTGTTTCTCAGGAAATAAAAAAGGTAAGCTGGGATGGAAAAGCATGTCCTATGGATGTAAGGGGGTTAACCACACCAATTTGTTTTCTGGTAAATGGTGCCTTATGAGCATCCATTTTGCAAGAGTTCCTGTGACAGGTAAATATTCTAAATGTAATCAACCATTGATTTAGCAAAATATAGGAACTCTTCATTTCTTGAATGAGACAGGGAGATGAAATCACAATATGTGTCAATATATGCTTGGGATAAACTAGTTTACAATCTACTTCCAGATATTTGTGTTATGAAAAGTTTGTATTGTTGAATTTTTATTAAAAGTCTATTATTTAATGAAATAAATCAACCTATTAGAAAACAATAAGCTGTCCTTTACCAAATTATACAGTTGGATCATTTAATCTAGGATTAATTGCTCAGAAGTTTTTTAGGCTATCGTATAATGTCCATCACTGCCTAACAAAACCTTATTAACTGAAGATGCCTGGCCTGAAATCTAGACTACCGAAATAAAAATTGGGCATTCTGCTGCTAAAGTAAATACCTTTTTACTGTAGTTTTTTGGAAACTGAGGCATTTGAGAGTTCTAATAAGCTAAAGGTCTGTTCCTCAGTTTCCTTATATTTGGAATAAGGAGCAGCATAACTAAAGAAACTGGTGATTGTATTTTCTTTTAATTTCCACTTTTTTGCAATTAATTCAGGATAACATTAGTATTCAAAATTACAGGGAGAACCAGACAGTAATTGGATAAAAGGACATTTGTAACAAGATTTCCTAGATTTATTGGTTTAGTGAGATTTTGTAGCTTTCCTTTTTGTCCAGCAGGGCCCTTATCTAAAACAATAAGCCTTCAATGAATATTACAGTATGTTGCATCTAACAAAGGTATATAGCTTGCTTAGTCAGTGATTGCTTGATATAAGAAACAAGTTTGCTTTCATCGTTTGCCCTTTTCTCTTTCAGAAATAAGAATACCTGGTGATAAGTTTGCATGAAAAGTTGAGCACTGATGGTGTAGTAGGATCCAGATTTTGCATGGAAAATGCATCATTAATCTTAACAAATGAAGACTTTCTAATCTGTAGAGTATACGGGTTTAGGAGAACCCTGCTTTAATTTTTTTATTAACATAGAATGTTCAGTGATGCAAGAATTCATGTACAGAGATAAAAAGGAATCAAAATGCAGAAAGGGCAGTAACAATTACTTATATAATTAATAAATCAGCTGGGATGCAACTATCAAGAACTGTAAGCAATTTCAGGATGCAATATTGTCACAAGAGAAGCTGTGAGTCATCCTTCTCCTATGTCTCTACATAGTTGTCTTGCTCTCAAAAATGTTTAAATGGTACAAGTTTTGTAGAAAAAGTGGTTTCTCATCTTCCAATACCATAATATTTGTATGTAAGATACACATTCATTGTTTGTTCAGTTTAGATACCGTGAAGATACCTGGAACTTCATCCCTTACCAGTCATGAACTGAGTTTCTACTTTACAAAAATCTTGGCAATGTAGGACCTTTGGTTTATTCCAAGAATCCCTCCTCCCAAATTTACTAAAAGGTCAATCCCACATAAAATTGCTTCAACACCGCCAATACCATCTGTATAATTGCACAGGTGGAAATACCTAAGCAGTTAAGGATCCAGAGGCTTCCCTTTAAGTCATCTTTACACCCTATCACACTTG